GGGGGGGGGTGTGTGCATACCTTTAACAACTATTACGCCCACGGCCAGGAGGCCTCCTCTGTCATCTATTTCCCCTCACAATCCTGTCGTGTGACACCGCATCTCATTGTTATGTTTAAGATTAAGAATATGTAAAACATATCTATTAGCTTCCTTGCTTTGCCGCACTTGAGCGCTGGTCACGTAAACACGACTTGCTGTACATATTAACCCTAAAGTGGTGGTGAAGCAGCGATCCTTGATTTTGATGGTGGGGAGCAGATAATAACAAGCCTGCCAACGGTGTGAGGGGAATGATCAGAAGTCGTGGGATCTGCTTTAGTAATGAGAGAGTGTTAAGAACATAAAACTAGGGGGGAAAATCCCTCACCTCTTTATGGGAGATTGGGAAGTTTAATTGCATGCCTGATTAAACTATTCCCTAACAAAATTGCACACTTCTCTGAGCTCCTGCAACCTTAAACCTTATGCTTCAATATCGAGATTACCGAAATATCTGCATTTTCTCTCCGTATGGATTCAGTATCATCCAACTCCCAGGTCGAGATCCCAGGCAATGACTCTTCTGTTTCTGAAACCAGTGATGACAGCGACCCTCTCTGCACCAGTGTGAATCACAGCAACCAATCTGTCGTATCGTCTACTGCAGAGTCAAGACTTCATCAAACCATCTGGCACACGATCCGTGGGTTCCAAGGTATCACCGTATAGACTCATCCCTCATCTACTATGGCCATTGACCAATTCACTTTTACCAGTACCAGAGAGACTTCGACATGTATATGACTCTGTCAACCATATCGCACGCCGACGATCTCGACCTCACGAATCAGTCATCCCAGTACCATGTCTACCGGGTTGCCCAGAATGTTTTGAGACCCCGGCCTGCTTTACATCATCGCTGGGGGCGATGCTATTGTCTTCCTGGGTCAACAGTTTGCTGATATTTGTTGTTGCTGGTACTGCGACATATATGGCTGACGCAGGTCCAGTCTTGACTTTCACATGCAACACCATCGCGATCGTGCCTTTATCTGCTCTCCTCACGGATGCAACGGAGGTTATTGCGGCCAAGGCAGGTGATACAATTGGGGCATTGCTGAATATCACATTCGGCAACTTGGTAGAGCTTATCCTGTTGTACGTCCACTGTCATCGCCACCATACCTTAAGTTGTTAAGCTGACCCATTCTATCTACAGCGTGTAAGTGATTGAGATATAGAAGCAGACCTTGAAGGTAATCAGGGATCCTGACCAAAACAGAATTGCTCTCAGGAACAACCATATATACATAGTCCAAGCCTCAATCCTTGGATCGATACTCGTAAACCTGCTCTTGGTTCTGGGTTCCGCCCTCTTAGCAGGCAGCGTAACCGACGTAGATCTTTTGTGCAATACAGCCGAGGGACAGCTTCTTGCTTGCTTGCTATTTGTTTCTGTATTCGTGGTTTTGATGCCAGTAAGTGCTGACGTGTATCAGCTGCATGCAACTAATAACATTTTGCAGACGGCATTTGCGCAAACAGTCAGCGAGACGGACAAGAACAAAGCTGCGACACTCAAGATGAGCAGGATTTCAGCACTTATGGTATTACTCATTTATGTGCTGTACTTTGTCCATGAAATCAGATCTCGTCCTGTAAAAGGGAATGATGTTGAATCACAGACCTATGATCCTGAGACTGGTTCAACCAGTTCTACTAACTATCGTTCTGGGTCTATAGATCTCGGCTCTAGTTCTTTCAGCTCACAGCACCTGCCATCCCGAACAATTCGTTTTGCAGATGACCAAGACCGAGAACGCAGAAGTGATTCGATCTACAAACTCAACAATATTGCTGAACTGGAAACCGTTGAGCCGAGCGACGTTGGCGATATGATGATGGATCGAGGCCGCCGCAGTGGAGAGACACCCCGCAGCAGCTACACCAGACCAAACTCTTATCAGCCCCTGCTAAATTCTCGAACGCACTCTCGCTCCATCTCGGTCAGCAGTAGTATAGGATTTCAAAGTCGGGAGTCGTCTATGAGTCGAGCAAGTCGACATGCCACTGCCCTTCACCTACTGAGAGAACATCGCCTTAGTATGGATCAACTAGTGCATCCTCGGTCACATGCTGAGCACTCCGAGGCTGACTGGAAAGCCCCTGTCGCTATGCTTATAATCACTTCGCTACTGATGTCCATGTGCGGTGAATTCCTCGTAAGTACTATAGACGATATCACGCATGAGGATGGTTTATCTGAACCACTCATCGGGCTGGTCATTCTTCCAATCGTCGGAAACGTCGCAGAATATGTCACCGTGGTAGCGGTAGCTATTCGAGGCAATATCGATCTTGCTACTGCTGTCGCTGTCGGTTCATCTATTCAGATTGCTCTTTGCATTTCACCCTTGACCGTTATGGCAGGATGGGCAATGCGGAAAGATCTGGACCTTGCTTTTAATACATTCGAAATGGTGACGCTGGCTGGGACAGTCCTCCTGGTCAACTTGCTAATTCTCAACGACGGGAGCTCGAGTCTGAAGACAAGTGGCTTAAAGGGCGCATTGATGTGTGCTTGCTATGTCATATTTGGGTGAGTAACATGCCTTCTTGTCGCTGTCGAAATATCTGCTGATAGTTGTGCAGGGTGGGAGCCTTTCTCTACCCTTCGGTGAATTAATCCAAGGAAATGATCGGAGAAGAAGCGTGGGCTGCGCAATATTCCAAGACAAGGGGGTTTTGGTGACTCTGCGCCAATGCCAGATTATGCAAGGCAAGGTGGACAGGGTCGAGTGCAGATGTCGATTATTGATGTAGAGTGGCTAGCCCATCCCTTTGGTGGGTATCGAGAGCATGATTTACATACTCGTTGGATTTTGGGTCCCTCAAAGGTACCTAGAAAATGTCCTTGCCCTGTGATGATGTTCTCCACTTACAAACAGCAAACCTGGTGCGTAGCTTTTTCTTGTAAGTCGCACCATACGTCAGTCGTCATTTGCGGATAAAGGTCGATACATAGACTTATGGTCAAATCTTATGCTTGTTCTCCTTGCTAGATCGCTTCTACTCCCAATCAATTCTTTGCTCTGCACTTTTCAGTATGCTCCATGATAACCAACAAGACCTACTTGACATTGACGCCGGTCTCTTGTCAAACTTAAAAATATGTCTACGGGAAGCGGAGTGGTCGAAAAGCAGTACTCCTCAAGTATCAACGCTGCAGAAATGTGATAAAAAGCTATATAACGCCAGGCTCGCAATTTGGGAGGCACTTATAGCAAACAAGAAGGTACAGCAGACTTTGCACTCTGAAATACTCAAGTTATTAACCATATAGAAGATTTCTGGCAACTCAGACTCTGGAAACATTCTCAAAGTTCATGGCCCTTGTTCTCTCTCTATAACGACACCCAGTTATATTGTGCCTGTCACAGTCATTGGAGAACCTCCTTCCTGCAATGGCATGAAACTAAGCGAGTGGACAATTACGAAAATTAGGCAAGGAATTATGGTTTTCGAAGAGACTAGTGCTGTTGTCTTCGAGTTTTACTCAACGTGTGTTGAGGGCACAGAACAGCTAAGCAACTTTTACCACAGCGCAGAGGTTATGTCGATCAGACAAGCTGTTACCAGGTTCTGGTAACAACAGATACACCGCACCTGCATCGGCCACAACACCTTCTAAAGTTCAAGCATCAAGCAGGGGGTCTGGGAAGGGGAGGTTTTGCGGCTGGTTTTGTGAAAGCCGAGCTTGCCAACGCTCAATGCATGGCTAGTGGGCTGCAATAGGAATTGAGGCTGTGTTGTTCTGTCATATGTCAAGCTTGTCTTTGTGTTTTCCGGTCTATGACGTACGCGATAATTCTTGGCGTTTTACTGCGTATGATGTGGAGAGAGTAAGGGTTTTAGGGTCAGATGCTGGCGGCCGCACTTGATCCAGGGTACTTTTGTCAGCGCCCGCGAACCTGCGGCCAACCTAGCACCGGAAGGGGCCAGAAACTAGTGTGGCACGAAGGCATCAGTGTCAGCCAGCGCAGTCTGAGCATTTTATGAGTGCATGAAGGACAACAGCAGCCCACCAGTCCAGGTCTAGACATAGTAGGAGAGGATGAGAGCAAAATGGGGAAAGAGGGGAAAGCGTAGATTTTCGGATTGGAAAGATGACTCGCCGTTCTTTCAGAGAAGCATTACGCTGACTATCATTACCTACAAAAGCCAATATCCTCTCGCATAACAATATGGAAGAGTATATGCCAAGCCTTTCACCCAGATTAATGGATGCACCTCTCTGCCTGAATTAGGCCTTATTCCAGACAAGCTTTTTAGCGCCAGAAACAAACATCCAAAACCTCTAGTGATAGGAGTCTTAGCGTGCACACACCACCAGGTTTCGGACAATAAGCAGGGATGTCATCTTCCAGTATGGAATCCTTGTCTCAGCTCAAAGCTTGATTTCTACTTGACAGAAAGCGAGGCTTGTGACATTTAATTTACCGGGCGGAGTCATGCAAGGACTTGTCTCGACTTTTTCGACGGTGTATGAGGCATTTATCTTCACTGTTGCTTGCTTCGTATTTGTGAAGAAAAGAATTGGGCCAAAGCGATGCTGTTTGGGGACTGATCTTTTTTCTTTTGGCGGGGGTTGCTTTGTAGCGTTCAGGTACCGTTTCCAGCTTGTCATCAAGCTCAAAGACTACTACGATACCATGTGGCCCGCTCATGCACGGCGTTAGCTTGTGTGGGGACCTTGTCATGTCATTAATTAATTCCCGTTTACGCCCTAACTCGAGCAGGGGCGTTGGTCTTTCTCTCGGCTTGCTTGATCCAGAAGTAATTAAAACCTCACCCCTCTGTCAAGCGGCCTCTTTCCTCTGTACTAGGAGTAATCATCTCGCGTCTAACGGGGTATGTGTCATATCATTTGACTGATGACAATATGGGTCATGCTTGTCACCTCGTGAGTCGCCAGTAAACGTTCATTTTGCGAGAGGCATTTATGGGAAAAGGTGTACCACAGTGGCTATGCCAAGCCCCTGACAAGCTTTCCCCCATTTTGACACAAAAGTGCATTTTTACAATCTAGAGTACCAGATTTGCTGCTGCGCGATGAGGGTCTGGATAATTGATCCGCTCACTCCGCTGTCAACTTTCGAAGCTCACGTATGTGCACTGGAGTGCCCTCAGTTGGGATGACAAGCTTAGAGAAAAGGAAGTTGCCAACATGAATCAAGTGCTAAAGTTCTTCTATCCAGAGTCTTTCCGGGCTATTTGAAGTTCTAGGGATTATTTATAACCTTGTATTAGCAAATCCAAATTTCTTTCCAAGAACTATCAATGCTCTCTCTCGTCACTTGAGCGTCGTTATGCCACCACATGTACCGCCCATCGCGAATGCTGCCTGTCCGTTCAATCGCCCAGTTTCAGAAACTGATGAGATAGAAACATTGAACTGGACTCGTGCCCGTAACTACCTCTACCAATCACGTCGCCGTGCAACTCGCCGACAGTCGACGCCATCGGACTTCGCCCCTTCAGACGGGATATCCATTCCACGGCACAATAACCGGTTTCGAGCAACAGTGACAAAGACTTCATTCGAAACAATGGACGAGAACCTATCGGACAGAGATCAAGATAGCGTTACTATTAAAGAGGACCGCCAGCAAGTCATCAACAGAACACATCCCTTCGGTATCAGAATTTGGAACTCACCACTCTATCATGAGGAAAATCCAAAACCCAATGGCGAGGACGGCTCAATCTCCGGCCACGACGTCGGTAATTGGATTTTCTTCTTCAACCTTCTTTGGACACTGTTGTTTGGCTGGTGGTTAGGTCTCCTGGTATTATTCTGCGGGATCATCTGCATGGCACTTTCAAGGACGCAAACCCAGCCAACATATGGCCGGGTCCTTTATGGCTTGGCAGGATTCGTCTTCTATCCTTTCGACAAGTCAGTAAAATACAGAAACAGCAGTCTTCACGTCCCAGAAAGCCAGAGAGAAGGCTCAACATCATATCACGGCCAGCAATTTGGTGCCAGCTCTGAGAATGACCAACTCTTATGCTACCCGAGCCTAAGTTACGGTCATGACCATCGTAGTCAAGATGTTAGTCTGGGAGCTGAAACGACTACTCAACAACCTCTGGAGCCTAAAAACTTGCCCAAGTCTTCTCTTTTCCGAAAGCAATGGAGCTTTGAGAGAACTATGTTCACTCTTGTTCTATATTTTCTCCTTTTACCAATATTTCTACTCGTGGCCATGGTCTGTTGGTGCTTGGTCCTTCCATTACCCACGGCACGTATGTTGGTTCGCTTGTTGAGAATTGTCCGAAGCTGCGCTCTGCAAATTTCGTTCGCGCGCAGGTCTAAGTCAACATTATCGACCATTGAAGCACAGGATACAGTTCTACTCTATAGCTCCAAGTTCGTTGACCCCAGTTCATGGAAGCAGTCTTTCGGTGGTGTCAACATTGTTCTCATCAATCTAATGGCGATTGCCATTTTGACAGCCTTTGATTGTCTGGTTGTTTTCCAACTCTTCCCCAGCCATTCGATGATCCTTTCACTTAGCATGTGCTTTCTTGGTAGCCTTTTGGGCATTATTCCGTTAGTCTATGTCATTGGTCAAGCAGTGGCCTCAATATCGACACAGTCATCTATGGGCACTAGCGCTGTCGTTAATGCCCTGTTCTCTACTATTTTCGAGGTCATATTCTACTGCGTTGCTCTTAAACACGGGAAAAGCGAACTAGTCGAAGGCTGTATCATAGGAAGCATTTTAGCCGGTGTCCTCTTTCTTCCTGGCCTGTCTATGTGCTTCGGTGCACTCAAGCGGAAGACCCAACGATTCAATGCAAAGTCTGCTGGTGTCACCTCGACGATGCTTCTCTTTGCAATAATGGGTGTATTTAGCCCTACAATATTCTACGCAATCTACGGTACCTACGTCATGAAGTGTGGAAGCTGTACACACAGCTTGCCTGATTCACAAGCACCTGGTACCAGTTGTCGTACGTGTTCTGTGACCCAACCGTTGGACTTGCAAAGTTCCCTTTACGACAAGATACTCAAACCGTTCAGCTACCTGTGCGCTCTTCTACTCTTGCTAGCATATGTCATCGGGCTGTTTTTCACTTTGCGCACGCATTCAACGGTGATCTGGAACGACGGTAGTGGCACGCACGTTGGTGAATCTTCTAACCAGCGGCTACCGATTCCTTTCCACCAAAGACACCAGAGACAAGCGGCAGACCTTCCATATGTCCATCCACGACCTCCTCACCTCAGGAAGAATCAAAGAATACCATCATCTGGGGTCATCAGGCCAACGAGATGCGAGGCAATTTCTGAAGCTTCTGAACTCAGTCAGGAGACTGAGCAAGTACTGGCAGGGACTCGGCTTCCCCGAAATAGAGAGACAGCACCAATTTGCCAAGATACAACGCGCCATGTCCCAAACTGGAGCCGAAGGAAGAGCCTGCTTATACTTCTCATGGCGACTTTGTTTTATTGCATTCTTGCTGTAATCCTTATCGATGCCGTGGATACCATTCTTCAGAAATTCTACATCGAGGAAAAACTCTTAGGACTGACTGTTTTTGCACTGATACCAAACATAACAGAAATCTGGGTAAGTTGGACTTACCACTCTCCACCGAGCAGGTGCTGACAGATACAGAACGCCATTTTGTTTGCCGCCAATGGCAGTATCGCATTATCGGTGGAGATCGGCTCAGCCTACACTCTCCAGGTATGTCTCCTTCAGATACCTGCTTTGGTCTTCTTTTCGGCAGTGTTTCGTTCACCTGGATCTTTGCAAAGGGAGGAAATATTCCCTTTAGTATTTCCTCAGTGGGACATGTTTGTTGTTATATTTTCCGTGTTCCTACATGGATTCATGCAGAACGAGGGAAGGAGCAACTACTTTAAAGGTAGCATCCTTCTATTGTCGTACATAGTTGTGATGATAGGCTTTTTCCTATCCGACGAGCGCGACTAGTTGTTAATTACATTGACGATCTTTGTTAGCGCAGTAGAAGGTTGTCTCAAGTTAGTTATTTAGCTTTATACTTGCAGTTATTAAGAATGCCGTAGACAGCCATCTAGTCCGAATTTATATATAATTAAAGACAAGATGCTGTACTTATGCTGGTAACTAGAGAGGTAGAACTATTTAATCTTTTGCTTTTAAATTAAGTTCTTAGCCTAGATATTCCTAATGTAATTATTTAAACTAAGATTTCATATACTCCTGGTTTAACATAATGCTTTAAAGCCACCATGGACGTCTATGCATAGGTTTCAGAAGAAGACAAAGAACTATGCGAGTCCGCATAGGTCAATCCAGAAGGCGGAGTGTTTGTTAGTGGCGAATTGCATCCAGATAAGGAACAGGTCAGTGCTGCCTATCTATAACCCTCAACTACTTGGCAACCACTAAGAAACTCTACTTCGGGACCCATACACTTCCAGAATGCGGTTATACAGCATGTGATGGAGCACAGGAAGAAAGAAGTCGAGTTGGGTGAAGAGATTTTGCCAGCAATGCCCAAGGTGGTCGGGCCGATGAAAACTGGAATGTATGATCAGGATGCCATGTTGTGCTCTCAGTTAAAAAGGGAGAGTTTCAGTGCCGAAGCAGATTTGGCCTGGTAACTAAGCACATTGGACGATCCAATGCTTTTGTATTTTATCAGGTAACACTCAACTTCAGTACTACAAGATCCCAACGCTAACATCACTGCTAACGCTATGATCCATGCGACTACTATCCACACTTCTTATTAACATAGTCGGCCTCAAGAAAGTCCCCGTTCTACCTCATCCAATTAGACCCTGTTTATTTGCCATCCTTTGTGATATGGTGATTGTTAACGTGGGTATCTATCATACTACACCCCGATCCTTCCACTGAAAAATTCGAACGGCCCAGTCCATAACTGACCACCAGTCTCGTGGCAAACACCTCATAACCAGATCAAACTCTCGTTCCGGCGCACCATCAATCCACCAAATCTGTCGCCCCAGCTTTACTACCATAAAGAAATATCCACAGATAGCCAAAGCCCGAGGATTCTTTGCTGCAACGAGATTGACGAAGCTATCTGAAACGGTAACTGGAAATCGCAGAGGCTTTTCAGTATCCAGTTTGTTATAGATATACGAGAGATGGGCTACTGCCGTCATGCAAATGTTGAGCTCCTCTTGGTCAAATAACGTCGATGGAGGGTTCCAATGGAGTAAAAAGCTAAAAGGGTTTGGTTGGATCTCGTAGGGAATGACGGGGCAGAGAGTTGAGAACTCTTGGCCAATAGAGGGGTTTTCGATCATTGACGGGACCCCTTTAAAGAGGTTTATAGCCCTACGGGACGATATAAACCAGTCGTAAGGCTGGCGTTGGTCGCTATCGCCTTGAAGAGAGTATGATTTCAGGTTGGCATGCATGCAGATAAGTGCGCAGGACGCGGCGACTCTAGAGGTGTTGGATTGATTCAAACCTCCATTCAAATCCCTTTGATGGACTTCTATTGCACGAGCCATGTATCTATGTGAGATTAATAACAGTTTTGCCTTGTGCTTGCTCAAGTGTTCAAGATGAGATGCAGAGGTACCAAGAATCGCATCCATGACACTAGTTGACTGGGTGGCTTGCTCTAGGATCCAGAATGACCAGGTAGCTTGAGCCTTGGTTGTCTTTCTCGTCATTTTAATGAAGTGCTGTAATAATTGGAGTTCGAACAGGTGTTCTGGAATTGGTGAAGTTCGCGCAGTAAATATCTCGTACAACGACAGACTGATGCGCGTCCGAGTTGTCGGCCAAGAGCGTGCGAAAGGCGTGGGCTCAACAGAAGATTGTGTTTGTTTTGGAATAATCTCCACGTTATTTCCAGAGTAATGACTTGGCTGAGACGTGGCAAGATACTCGCAAAACGCGTCTCGTTTATGGCAGTTTTTACAGACCGGACGAGTCTCGTCACACTCAAAAGGGTTAACTCATAGCGCGGATATTCCCTCCAAGGATGTTTACCTTGATTCGACTTCTTTTGCATGCCTTGCAGCCCATCCTTGACTTGCGATGTGCCCGACGTCGTGAAGGAGCTGGCGTTGTGGATGTAGGGTCGACTTCAGTCATTGCCAACAGTTTGATGATAATAAGTGCAAAGTCAGATTAGCAGATGGTTTTATTGTTTGCATTCACAACTGCATAAAAAGTAAAAGAGAAGGTTGGTAGGTAATTTCATGATAATGTTTTAATTATTATAGTCCCCGGCTGTGGCGGAGCGTCTAAGCTTCCCCACCTGCCTTTAAACTCTATTTCTGCGTTATACCACGGGAGTCAGGATAAGCCTGGACCCAACGGTGGCTATGTAGTGGCATGGTGCAAAATGGCTACCATGGCTCCCCAGAGTATCTTAACTTCCCATAGCCATTTTATCAGCATCCTATCTGCTGCTAGTAGCCTCTGACCCTCTACCCACGACTGTTCCCAATGAACGGTCCTGCCATAAGCTCAGAGGAGCTTCGGCCTCTGAATCGGTGACATCCTTTGAACTTATGTCCAAGAATCTCGAGGGGTGGAGAACGTTGAACATGATGCTTGCGATGACCATCGGGATACCATCCAAGACGAGAACGTAGACTTCCTTGGATTGCAGCTCCCCATCATGCCCTTCAATATATTCAATCATACGAAAGAGAGAACGGATGAGGATTAGCACGCTTGCCACGTAGATCACTACCAAAGACCTCTGCCCGTTGGTTTCAAGGCTAGACGTTCTAGCTTTGGAATTGAGAAATCGGAAGTGAAACAGGCCTGCCATAGTAATGAATAAACCGAAGAATAAAATCTGTACCGTCAATCCGGCGATGATGATATTCTCTCCTGTCGTTTTGTCATCTGGGGTATCAGCATTGACGAGCTTTCCTCCACCTGCAAATAGTTAGCAGAACTATCTTCGTGGCTAGAAATGGAATATGAGGCAGTCCAAACGCACCGATTCCCTGTAGCGCAATAGAGATTATGTCGCCAAGAAGAAAGATCTTAGTCAGCCAATTGGGCCTGATCAAGGAATGCTTTTCTGCTTTTAACAGCTGGATGAGCCGGCCTAGGATAATGTAAATTGACGCAGCATAGCACGTCGGCCCTAGAAGCAGAAGTAGAGTCTGCATAACATATGGGCCAAAAGTATAATTCGGTGCCTGGTCAGCGCCAATGGCACGGCCAATGAAGCCAGTGGTTTCAACTTCAATCTATCAGTTGGTAAATAGAATTTCTTAGCTCAAGGCAGACGTACAGAGCGAGCCTATCAGGAATGGAATAAAGAACCAAGTCCTTGTCTTGAAGATTTGGAAGAGATGAGTTGCTGATGAAATGGCGAAGATGATAATGAAAATAATGGACGCGGGCAGCGAAGGTTCATATTGATAGTAGTTCACCATTGTGAATTTGGTGATTTGGTGATATGGATAATAATGGAAGATAAATGCGTGTTGAATTGCAAAAGTTGTTGAAGTTAGTAGATAAGTTTAATAACGAGGCAGCAGTATGCATTTTTTAAAGGTCATTCTGCTTAATATATACTCCAGAATCGATATCGTACTAATATGTCCAACGGACGTAGTGACGCGTTTATGTACTATGGCTATGTGAAATTGAAGTAAGTCGGCCACTTCACGGATGCCGAATAAGGTCATACCGTACCAACTAATCTCTAATTGGCTACTCTTATGTTAAATATTGGGACTAAAGACCGCCTTACCGACCATTGGATGTCTCGGGGCTTGTCTGGACAATGAATGACAAGAAAGGACTATTAACGGATGCGTGCGTGTTTCTTAAGTTACAGCACTCTGTGCCACTTTACTTGAAAATCCCCGAACCCCGAGAACATGGACCGTTCTGAGCTCTGGTTATTGCTGATTGGTTCACGATACGATGCCCTGGTCATTTAACTTTATCCTGGTCGAATTCCAAGCCCCTCGGCTAAACCTGGTCAAGAATTACGCGCTAAACTTCCTGAACACATCAGATAAGCATGTGAACCTTCTCTCAGAGCGCTGTCTCCCGCCACAGAATTGAGGTTATACGGTGCCAAGCATGTCTCATAGCCCATCTCCCTTGAAATCAGGACTAGTCTTTGGCCTTTACCAACTTCGGCAGTTAATTCGAAGCCGGGCTTCAACTCGGGTCCTGGGCAAATCACTCCAAGGTAACCTACCACGAAAACCATATTTATACTTTTAGGAGCGTCATCAATCACCTATGGGCATAAAAATAAGAGTTCACAGGGGAATTATACTTATCAAAAAGTGGATTGGCTTCATTGGGTTAGTAATACAATAACTATAGTGTAGTACGTCTCACAAGAAAAGGCCCATGCCTTGGTCTATAATATAATTACAATCTTTACTGACGCCACGAACAGCCGTCTCGTTGGCATCTACATGTGGTTAAAGACGGGCTGTCTTATTCTTGCTGGTAACTACATATTAATATCATGCATCAACGAATCCATCTTCAGTCCAGGTGCAATTTGTATCCCATGACCAATCTTGACACAGCATATTCAATACATCATCCACCTCCAATCCATCTGCCCATAAGTATGAGTCTTGATCTAAGCACTTACTGTTATTCATGTCTGGTTCAAGACAAGACTGCTCTCCTTGGCACATCAATTCGCAACTGGCTTCAAATATTTGGCTCACAACTCCCTTGCTGCAGCGAGCAGTCAGTGACCAATCATGCATCTCCTCAAAAAGCCTGAGAGCTGTCTGGACCTGGTCACGCCACTCAGCAACAGCAGGGCTCTGAGGCTGCCACAGCATGCTCAGCAGCGGTATCATAGTGGCCTGGTAAAGAAACCATACTGCGTTCCACCCTGACATCTGATGACTCAGCCACGTCTTTGCTATATCTTCAATGGCTATCTTGGAGAGTTGTTGGCACTTCTCGATGGCATCGTGGTCAGCTTGATGGCCCATTTGAGTCATAGTTGTAGCGTCCAAGAGTGCTGGGCGATACAAAAGCATGCGCAAGTTCCAGTATCGCCATCTCATGACGCACCGAGCAAGATGAACCGGTTCATCGCAGTTTCGGTCATTAGAAAGAACGGAAGGTAAGTGGGTATGCCAATTGATCAAGGACTCATCAAAACGATCGCGGTCTGCAGGGTTGAGAACAGGAGTCACGGCTAAGCTGTCCTGTATCTCAGTCGCAATCCTGCAAAACCGAATGTTCTCAACTAGGGTTGTCATTCCCATATCTTGCCCAAAACCATCTTCTCCATCAATACCAAGCTTAGGTAGTTCTATATCAATCGAAGGAGAGAAACGGCCGAAGGAGGGCCGACCGAGCGTTGTTGTTGTCCAGGTATCCAGGCAGACCAAAGACCACCAAGTTCGTCGCCTCACTTCTGCTGCTTCAGATTGATCGCCTTCCCCGTCCTGTTCCGAAGGCTCTCGATGGAAACCAAGTGCACTCGCCATCCGAAAGGCCGCACCAAGAATAGCATTGCCTCTATTGGGTCGGTTGATGTAGTGAAGATAGTAACCTCCGGCAAGAGCAAGGGCCTGCAACGTTTCGATGCGACTGCTGCCAAAAGCGCTGAGGTCGAGGTGTCTCATGGCCTCAGTGTAGTACTTGCAGTGGTCTCGATCGCCTGACTTGCTAGCTACGATGCTGCCCATGGCCAAGACCATATTTAAGAGAGCCAGCCAAGGCGAATCCTGACGTTGACTACTCAGATAATTCGTTCTGAACGAGGTTTCATCAAGCATCGGGGTGAAGATATGGATGCGCTGGAAGTATGCATCAACCAGTGCCTGTCCTTTGCTGCTCCATTTTATGCGAGGATATTCCAACAAGGGCTGGGGGGGGTGATAACAAGGCTGAGCCTCATCGTGTTTGGTAATGTTGTTCATGTTTGCCTGGCGAGAGGCTAGCAAGCCACGTAGCTGAGGCCGTACTTGAAGCATGGCTGCAAGCGCCGCCCTGATGGATGAAATGCCGAGATAAGAGGCCTGTCGGTCGAACGGCAGTGACAAGGCGTTGACATCATCAGCCTCAGCAGGCAACGGGTCTCGCTCACGTCGGTCTTCGTCCCATTGCGAGTCCTGAGTAACAGACTTTTGAGGGGTGCTGTCAGTGGGAGATGGTAGGACTTTATCAGTCGAACCTCCATGTAACACGGCTTCACGCAGTTCCTGGACCGATAGTGAAGCCAGGTCTGAAATATTGTGATTGGGGAAAAGGCGGCTCAAAATGGCGTCACGTTCTTTGAGGCTTTTGGACAAGCTTTCAAGTGTTCTGTCACGATTGTTAGATTCACATCACGGACAGCACAGCTCTTGTCGAATCGAGTAAATGCAGACCTTTTTGAAGGCACAACACGTTGAATCTGTTGGGTGTAAACGCATCTTGCCTGTAAATCCCTCGACTCGCATTGGTTACAAGGCTGTCGGCCATCGCAGCGTATCTTTCGACGCTTACAGTTGCCGCATGCGTGTAGACCTCGCGTGGGCTTTGATTCTTTAAGTGTACCCGAATCAGAGGGTTCAGCGGTGCCCTGGACTTGTGAAACATGACAGTCAGTCAGAGGATTATGATTGAGACATCTGAACTTACAGGTACAGAACATGATGGGCTCCGATGTGGTGCAGCGCTGGGCCCTTTACGTGCATAGGTTGGATGGGAACGACGTGAAGGTGAGGCTGCCAGCCTGGGTGTGAGGAGACGGTAAATATCAGTCGCGAAGTGGCAAGATTGCAAGTCTTACGAGCGTGGTCCAATCTCATCACAAGCACGTGGTACAAATGCGGAGTGCTGCATACTGTACGTGTCTGGGGTGATTTTGAAAATCCGGGGAAGAAACTGCACTCCAACATCGACTGAGTTTGAGGGGCGATGGTCGTTAGCCTTAACAGGAGCGGCACAAGAGCATCCGTGCCTGGATTGGGACTAGTCATCTGCTTATAGCCTCGGTTACGACAAGGTTCTACATCAGGGGCGCTCCACTTACCCGAGAGCAGTAAGCTGTACACATAATGCAAAATCCTTTCAACTCTCTCCTGTAAAAATTCTTTCTTGGCACGCACTGTTAGTGCGGTGCTAGGAGCGGGATTTTCTGCAGGCCACGCGACCACACAAAAAC